CACACCTCTACATTTCTCGTCATACATGGTGGTTAGGAAAACATAAACCTCTTCATCATCAATAATATCTGTAAGTATCTAAGCTCCCATTAATAGTGGACTGAAACTCAGTTTCAATTTCGTTGCACTTTCATCTATCCCAACCTTCTTACATATTCTAGCTTCTAACATCGACAAGGTGATCCCTCCATAGATGTCTTAAACGATAACCCATAGAAGCGACCTACGTACTTGAAATGTACATTTACATTTTTTCTCGTAGTTTCCTGCGAATGAATACAAAAACTAATTTAAAAAAATTGGAAGACCACTTCAGTAATACAAGTTGTACTAGTTCTACTGTTATTCTCAGTTGTCCTATTTAGTTGTACCCATTTCTCCCATTGCGATAAATCAAATTTAATGTCGTCCTCAATTCCTTCTAATTTACTTACATTTCTTTACAATTCAACCACAAAATACATACATTACCAATCCAGAGACCTAATCAATCCATAAAGCATGCTTACAAGCCCAATGTGCACCCCAAACTAAAAGTTTAAAGCAATACGAAACCCTAACAGTCCGATTTCTATTTTAGTTAAAATGCAATACCTCTTGAGGAACGGACCTGGGTTTTCGAAGTTGCAGAGTACAATGGAGACGGGTTGCAATTACAGAGGAAGAGCAGCGGAGAAGAAGACTCGGATCGAAACTCACCAAGTGAAAAAGGAAAAAAGAGGAGCTGGTCCGAGTAGCTCCAATCGGGAAGAAAAAGAAGCTGATTTTTTTTTGCATTTTGTTTTTTAAAATTTTATAAAGATTATTTTCAGTATTTCACATTTCATTTAAATTATTGAGATATGTAGATTGCTAAGAGTAGATTGAATTTGTATATGAGATTGTGGCTCGAACATAACGAGGTATTTGAACATATGTTTCAACATTTAGGGGCTTTCCAGCCAAAGATCCGTCAACAAACTAGGAACCCATTTTTTGTGGACAAATAGCCAATATGCCCTTAAGTGTTAGAAAAAAATCTGACTACCCCTCTCCTAATCTCAATGCTCTCCCCTTATTCTTCTCTCTATTCTGCCCTCACCCTTCTTCAATAAAATAATAATATCCGAAAATTAATAAAATAAATAAAAAGAAAAACAAATCCATAATATTATAATTAAATTTTCAACTAAATCTCAACTACCGACGGGCCTCACATCTTCATCTTCTTCATGGCTTTCGCTGGTTGACGGATTCTTCATTCCTCCTGTTTTCCAAAACCCAAAATTCTCCATCTTGAAGCTGTATGAGAACTTTATAAGGTGAGTCTGTTGCCGCATTATCTCCTTTACATACGCTATGAATCTTAGAATAATAGGGAGTGCTACACATTCTTGCTCTTGGTCTTCCAATGGTGCCATTGTTCTGAAATTTTTGTGGATGAATGAATAATTGAAATTCTTTGCTAAGGGTTGTAGATCGGTAAATAGGAGCAGTTATAATCGTTAAATGAACATCAAATCATCCCGATTCGTACTAAATCGTTGGAGATTCGTTGATAAATAGAAATTTTCTGGGTACACAAACAGGGTATTACTGGACCAACTGGTATTACTAAGACATCAGGTAATACTGATAGAAGTAGTATTACGGGAACAACTGGGTATAACTAGACTAAGACTAGTATTACTGCTTGTATTAGTGAGAGAACTGATATGATTGAGACATATACTAATGATATTTGTTATTGTTGTTAAGGGGACAATGAATATAAGTCGTTGCACTATTATATGCTTCGATTATAGGGGATCTTATTCAAAGGAATGTGATGTCATAAGATGGGTATCAAGAGAAGATGAAATTACACCTGTTGAGGAGGTAACTTATGTTGGGTTGATCAGTGGAATATGCAGGAAGATGAAGATAGATGAAGCTAATACGCAGCTGAAAGTCAGTTACTTTCCATTGGTAGTGGATCCTAAGCCATCATATATCTGGAATGATGAGAATGTTTTTGGCTACCTGATGCAAGTGAATAACAATACATGTAGAAGTGTATTGCACGTGGAGATCGTGGAAGATGTCGATCAGGGTGTTGTGCGACCTTCTAGAGAGGATCGCGAAAGTGTAAATGGTCCAAGTAATGAGCAGGTGTTTTCAAGTGGTATGGATGTTAATGCTGGTATAATTACTCTTCATGGAGGTAAACCATCAGAACGCCATCAAGCAGAACAAAGAAATGTGTCCAGAGAAGAGGTTGATGATACTGAGTATGGACCTGCTATCGAAGAAGTAGCGGTAAATAATGGCTGGGAAGATGGTATTGAAATGATTGTAGGTCAAGAATTTAGAAGTAAAAAGACAGTGCAAGATTTAGTTCATGTAGGCTCACATCAGAATTGTTTTGAGGTTGATACAATCAAGTCTGACAAAAAGCGATACGTGGTGAAATGTCGCAAAGCAAAAAATGGTTGCAAGTGGTTTTTACGAGCTGCAAAGTTAATGGAATCAGATTGTTTCTCGGTAAGAACTTACAACAAGATGCATACATGCTCTCGAGCTTCTGCAGTTACAGTCAGGAATAAAAGGAAAGGGACACCGGGATTGGTTGCATCTGTTGTGCATGAAGATTATCCGGGTAAATTTGACACTCCAACTCCAAAACATCTGATCGATATGGTTCAAGGACGACTTGGGGTAAAAGTATCATACTCTACTGCTTTGAGGGGGAATAAACAAGCTGCAAATGATGTGCGGGGAAGTCCAGCCGAGAGTTACCAGTTGGTGTATTCCTATATGTACATGCTGGAGTTGATGAATCCTGGTACACGGACTTATGTGGAATTGGACAAAAACAAAAAGTTCAAGTACCTATTCTTCACGTTAGGAGCTAGCATTGAGGGATTCCAAGCCATGAGAAAAGTCATTGTTGTGTATGGAACCCACCTTAAGACTGGATATGGTGGTGTTTTGTTAGTTGCTACAGCTCAAGATCCTAATCATCACCATCATCCAATTGCATTTGGTGTAGTTGATGGTGAGAAAGATGCTAGTTGGATGTGGTTTATGAACAGGTTGAAATCAGTGATACCGGATGATCCTGAATTGGTGTTTCTTTCTGACAGAAACTCAAGCCTCATCAAATCTGTGCAGACGATGTTTCCGTTGTCTCAGCATGGGTATTGTATTCAACATTTTTCTCAGAATGTAAAAGCGAATGTCTACTACGTCAACAAAGATATATGCGAAATGAAGTTCAAAGAATGCGCTCATGCGTATACAGAGAGTGAGTTCCTGACACTTTTTGATGCTTTTAGAACCAAGTATCCTTCTGTAGCCCAGTATCTCGATGGTAGTGTTCCTGTGGACAAATGGACAAGATGCTATTTTCCAGGAGAAAGGTACAACATAGACACCTCCAATATTGTAGAATCTATTAATGGTGTTCTTAGGAAAGCAAGGAAGTACGCTCTATTACCAATGATTGATGTGATTGTTGATAAGCTGGCTGAATGGTTTAACAAGCATAGGAATAGTTTTTCTGAAGTATCAAGCACCCAGAAGCTTGTGCCTTATGTGGAGAAAGAACTGCATAAAAGATCACCGGAAGCGAAGAAATTAACGGTGCATGAGTTGAACGCCTTCTTCCTTGAATTCAGTGTCATTGGAAAAGACAGCAAGTGCTATTTGGTTGATATGAAAAGGAAAAGCTGTAGTTGCAAGTGTTTTGATATAGACAGATACCCATGTGTGCATGCAATAGCTGCTGCCATCTTTATGAGTAGAGGCCGGGAACTTCATCTACAAGAGTTTTGCTCAAAATATTATTGGATGGAGCTATGGACATTAGCGTATTGCAGGACGATTTATCCAGTACCACACAGGTCTGATTGGATTATTCCTGAGCATATACAAAACCTGGTTTTCATACTCCCAGATTATGTCGCAAAGGAAGGAAGACCTCAAGAAAACCGGTTCCCATCAGCTAGAGAACACCGAGGAAGAGGGAGAGGGAGAGGAAGAGGAAAGGGAAGAGGAAGAGGAGGGATGTGGTCATATTTCTTTAGTGGTAATAGTGAGGCTGGTGATGTTGGTCAAACTGTGTAGCTTGTTTGTGTTTATTTTGTGTATTCGGAACACTTGGAACAACTGGTGCAACTGATAGTATTTAAGACGGTTTTTTTTATTGTATTCAAGAGTCGGTTTGTTTTAAATTGAATTTCGAACATTCGATATGAAAAAATCTTGTATTAATTTATTTAGAGTTATATTTTATTTTTAAAATTATTAGGAAAACCTACATTCAATATGAAACAATCAAATAGAGAATATTTACACAACAAACACCATACACTTCTATGAACACTTTCTAAATACAAACCACCATATGAAGCCATAGTCAGATACGATGAGTTTTAAAACATTTTTAATGCATAAAACCTTCAGGCTTAACAACAGAAGGACTAAAATCATCTGTAAAACTACAAACAGGAAATTTATTATGGAGTATAACTATATAAAGTTAAAAACACCCAAAAGTACAACTATTTGAAAATAGTATAACTAAAAAACTATGGATTACTAAGTGTAATTTTGGCGGCGTCCACGTAAGCAAAAAACAGCGCACGTGTTATTTTGGTGGCAAACGTGGTAGGAGCGGGAAATTTTTGGAAATTCAGGATGGTTTTTTCCCGATTTAGGGTAAATTGTAGAAATCGGGATCCTAGGGATTTCTTTCACTTCTCAGATTCGAGTTTCCTCCTCCCTTCTCTCTCTCTCTCTCTCTCTCTCTCTCTCTCTCTCTCTCTCTCTCTCTCTCTCTCTCTCTCTCTCTCTCTCTCTCTCTCTCTCTCTCTCTCTCTCTCTCTCTCTCTCTCTCTTTTTCTTTCTCATCCTCCTCCTCACCTTCTTCTTCTTCGCTTTTCTTCCTCCAAACTTTTTTTGGCCTCTCCTTCTCACCTTCGCTCGGGTTCGTTCTTTCTTATCTCTTTAGATTAGTCGATCTCTCTCTCTCTCTTAAAATGGATTCGGATTGTAGCTATCACTACACAGACAATTTCCTCATCGACCCATACAAGGAGGAGTTGAAGGAAGAGAAGAGGCGCCGCAAGGAAATGGAGAAGATGAAGCAGCATTGGGACATGGTTGGATTCATCGCCGACGGCCAATATGGGATTCCGAGAAGATGCCCATGTGGTGGATGTATCAAGCACGATGTATCTCCTTCTCCATAATTTAAACACGATTTCGATACTCAACCAGACAGTAGGTACTTCATCTGCACCAAATTTAAGGTATAATCTCTATAATTTCAGATCTGGGTTTTTTCCTGGGTAAAACTAGTAAAACCAAATTAAACTATTTAGATGTTCTTCGGGTGTAAAACTTGGAATAATAGGTAAAACTATGTTGCTCGTTTTTTTGTTTTTTTCTAGGATGATGGACTCCACTTTCGTCAGCCATGGGTTTTCAGAGTCGAACAAGAGATTGAGAAGCTAGTTATGAAAGTTGAAGAGCAGAGCAAGACGATTGAAGAAATGGGAAAACAGATTCAGATCCAAACCGAAGAGATAGCCAAGCTCAAAACTTAACGAATCTGCAATTTCCTTTAATTGTTGTTTTAATTGTTGTTCAAGACTAACGTTTCCTTGCACTTTAATGTTTTATAACTATTTTTAGTGTTTAAGTAGTTAAAATGTATGTCTTGCACTTCAATGTTTTATAACTATTTTTAGTGTTTTTATTTGCTTGTTACTCTGTCAAACACCATACTAAATGAAATACGTTTAAATCCGAACATTAAATCTAAACATTAAATCCAAACATTAAATCCAAACTTTAAATCCAAACAACATATCAGCATTCGAGTTTTAGTTCTAACTCATACTGAAAACCAAAAGAGAAAATGTTTTAAATCCAACTAGACTATTTTTTCCTGCCCCTCTTGGCCTTTTCCTATGTGTAAGGAGGTCGCACATGCTGGGAGTGTTTTATCTTCCTCTTCTGGGGTTCGTCAGCTGCCTCCTTCTCCACTTGGGACTGTGAACCTCTTTTTTTCCTTTGATACACCTGCTTACCCCGCGCGGAAGATTTCCCTTCTGTCTGCAAACACAAATAGTTTTACTTAGTGTTACATAATGTGACATTTCTGTTTTAGGGTATAAGAATTAGAAAATTTACCTCTGCCTCCTTCGCTCCATCTGCCTCCTTAGCTTCCTCTATCTCCTTAGCTTTAGATAAAACAGCAGCCACACACTTGTTAGGGACCTTCAGCATTCTGCCTCCTACTCCTATAAGACTGCTACATCGCATTATTGAAGGAGAATTACCGCTTCGCTCTTCTGCCTCCTCTTCCTCTTATGCCTCCTTAGCCGCTTCCTCCTCTCCTACCTGCTCTACCTCATTCTCCTTTACTGCTTCATTCTTTTCTCCCTGTAAAACACATAGAGTTAAACTCTCTGCAAAACACAAACAGTTAAACACCCTGCAAAAGACAAATTACCTCCGGTTCCTGCTCAACGCCTGTCTCCGCCTCCTTTTCTGCCTCCTTCTCTTGTTCTTTCTATGGTTCCTCAACGCCTGTCTCCGCCTCCTTCTCTGCTCCCTCATCTGCTTCCGCCACCTCTACTTCTTACTCTTGCTCTTGCTCTTCTCCCTGCAAAACAAACATTTGTACTTAGTGTTACATAGAATTACTTTTCCGTTTAGAGGTCTAAGTCAACCAAATTTTACCTCTGCTGTTTTCTCTCCATCCGCCACCTCTTCTGCTCCCTTATCTGCTTCCTGGACCACCTCTTCTGCTCCCTTATCTGCTTCATCCATTGGCTCGGTTCCCTTCAAAACACACAATTGTACTTAGTATTACATAGTATGACTTTTTCGTTTAAAGTTCTAAGTCAACCAAATCTTACCTCTGCTCCTTCCGCTCCATCATTGTTATTCACAGTAGAACGAGGAATGTAATTATCATAATCGACGTCCTCATACATGCTTCGAGCATCTAATTGCTCTTTCACATAGCCTTCCACTGCTGCAAGTCTTGTATCGAACCCAACAAACTTGTCATTCATCTCGTTGAACCCACTCTCCATTTCCGTCTTCAGACTCTCTACGACCTCAACCAAGTCAGCGACGGAAGTAGTGGCGGCATTGGCAGCATTGGCAGCGTTGGCGGCATTGGCGGACTGCTCTTCTAGTCGGGCGGCCACGTCTTCTTCGTACATCTGTTCAAAACAGACCGGCTTGTCTTCATCGTTAATACACTTTAACCAACTATGAACAACAGCATCATCGACATCATCATCGTCATCTTCTTCAGTCACTCAAGCCACAAAAGCTTCTTCCTCATTGTAAGGGACCAAGATGCTATCAATCTCCTGTGGATATAAAAAAAGAGTGCAATTCCAATCATAAATAAATTAAAAATGTGAAAATTTAAAACGTTTGAATTTAAAAGTATTACTGGCCTTAGTTGTTCCAAGTGCTTCATTTATTTCCTAGAGAGAAAATCTTTTCATGGCGCTTTTTTTGAACTTGCTCTTGCACATCCTCGGACAAGTTTTCCTCGCAGATGGAACAACTTCTCGGAATTTCTTCTTCAATGATGGAATTGCTTCAAACGCTAGAAGCTACATATGCCTTATAGTATTTCGAGTTAGCTTCAAATCTATGGAAATACAAGTACTACATATATTCATATTTACCTCCCAAGGAATGCAAAAGCTTGGAAAAGTCCAATTTGATCCGCTAACAACCCCTTTAAAATGATCCACAATATGTTGGATCTCTTCCATATTGTTATCAAAAGACAATCTCCCCGAGGGAAATGTCCTACACAAATGCAGATCACTGACTGCTCGTTGAAAGAACCGCTCCACACAAGTAGCATCACCTCCTGTCTTATACTGCCCAATAATGAAGCTTGATAGAAAGAAAAGGATGGCCATCCTTAACCGATCTGGAGAATATTTCATATTCTCCAGCTTTTCTTTCACATCTGAGTATCTTATTTTTTTTCCTGCCCCAAAGTGCTTGTCCACGAACTCCATACTGCCCATTTTCGAATAGTTAGGAGGATAGCTGCGACAGTTTAAACCGGAGATGAGGGCGTGTTCACCTATACCGATTGGGCACGCCATTCACAATGAACCAGGCTTCCTTTTTCCTCTCCGTAACCGCCGTTCGAAGAATCAGCACCACATCCCCATTAACTTGTGGTTTGAGTCCTTGTGCATGTGGAAGAAATTTTTGAATTGGGAGTGATCCACAAACCAACTCTTCTCCTCTGGTCTAAGTGGATACTTTAATCCACTTGCAGTAAATCCACTGCTTTCGAGATATAACACCTTGTAGACAGCTTGATCTTTTTCACGTACTCTGTTGGCTGGAAGTACATCACCATAGGAAGCATTGGCTCGGTTCCCTGCAACATAGTTGTACCAACTATTACTTTTTTCCAGAAATTCTTAACATACGAAATGACCCTAGTTTTACCAGTTTTACTAAAAACTCAGAATATTACTAATTTGAAACAAACAATCAACAATCAACGAAAATGAAAATCTGATAGCCTAAATTCTAAATTAGAAACAAAGACTCGCTATACAATCAATCACCCAAAACGAAAGTACTTTAACCAAACTCGATACCCAAAACCAACGAGTTCTTTCAAACTCGAAAACCAAGTAACGATGGTTCGGGTACATACCATTGAAGAATCGGATGCGCCGTCGTCCGTGACGGTTCGACTGCTTCCGTCGCCTCCATCGTTGCCTCCTGCTTCTTCGTTCTCTGAAGATTCCGGGTCCGAGTCTTCATAGACAACCTGAGAGGTTCTCTTAGATCTTCGAACCTCCGCTGGAACCTCATCAGTTAAACCATAATTCGGCCTCTTTGTACGCGCCATATGCCTACATGATCAATCCAAATCGGTTACAATGGAATCTATATCGACATCCATCTCACAAAACTGACAAGATTACGACACTTACCTTCTCTGATTCGCCTACAAATCGATTGCTGTGGTGAGAGTTGGATAGTTTGACTTAGTTTTTCTTAGTAACTGCTCGTAGTGGTCCCGACGAACTAGGATCAATCGTCGTTTCGTCCGCGTTTTTTCTTTTAATTTTTTTTCTCTAAATTTTACTTTTGATCGATTGAGAGGAGATAAAGGGTGATTTAAGCGGTTTTTTACGGTAGGATCCGAGTAGGATCCACGATATATGGTCCGATTAGGATTTGGGTGGGTTTGTCTTAGTTGAGTCAGTAATTTTGTTAAGTTTTTATGGACATAATCGATATCTACTCGTTTTCTCTATTTAAAATAAATGTTATAAAATAACCCAAAAAATAAAGAGTATATTGGATCATTTTCGAACAGCTATGGCCATCTCAACCATTGATCCTTTTTTTGTGGATCAAAATCTGAGATAACCTTCCTTATAGGAAGAAGTTCTCAAATAACTTTTCCCTATTATAATTTTATTTAAGATTTTCTTTTAATGGATTAATATAGTAAAATTACTATTTTCTCCTTCTTTAAATCGACTTCATTTTTGCCTTTCTCTTTCGATTGGAATCTCTTTCGATTAAAATCCCTAATTCACTCCCTTTCAAATTAACGATCTTATCTCTGAAATCCATCAACTTTGATTTTCGGACCAGTTCCGCCAACTGATTTTTCGATCTCATGGCACCTCGTACGAGAGGAGAAGGGAGTTCGGTTGAGAACGCCCACACCCTCGCCAGATCCTCCACCGCCGCCGCCGTCGAGTTCAAACTGGTTTCACCGTCGCAATCAGCACCGGTAAATCCTAATTTTTATGAAACCATGGCTAGTATAACTAGGTCCAACTAGTCAGACTAGTATGAATAGTTCAACTAGTTCATGTAGTCCGACTAGTATGCGTAGTTCAACTAGAACAGTTAGTATAACTAGTATAATTAGACTCAAAAGGACAGTGTTGTCGCAGCCGAGCCTGCTTTTGGTGAGAAATGGTTCGCTTTTTACACCTTTTTTACTCTTTTAGTTATCTCACTAAGAATTTGATTATAGTCATTAGTCTGATTTTCATTGATTTTTTTTTCTGCAGAGAGAAAAGTCTACAAGTCTAGTGTGAAAGTCCTTACACCTAAGAGGTTGATCAAAAAGTGTATGAAGTCAAGATATCCAAGAACTCCAAAAACTCCAAGGCCTAAGAGAAATCTAAAATCTTCACATTTGTTGCAGTCCCTTTATGTTCCAAAATGATAACTTATTTTCTTGGTTTTATGTATTTTTAGACTTATATGAATTTAGACTTATTATGAATTTAAGTATTTAAACTTATTATAACTTTAAGTATTTAGACTTATTATGAATTCAAATATTTTCAGATTTAATATGCTTATATATATTTAATATCGCAAGTACAACTAGTATTACTATGTCCAACTACCATGTAAAATACTTAAAATCATTGCTAGCAAATTTAAATAAAAAAATATGCACCGACATAGTGTAAAACATTAAAAACGTACTTAAAAAAATTGAATCTTTAATACTGAGTTGTACCAAGGAACCTGTTGTACTTTAATTGTAAAGAGTTGTAAAGAGTTGTACTTTAGCCCTAAAAATTTGTAATTGGTGGTACCATTCTCTAAACAAAATTTCTTTAGTTGTACTTACAAAATTAAGTATATAAACTACATTCCACATATTTCTATATAATTAAATATGTACATATACTTTGCTAATTTGTTTTTCGTGTTAGTGTGGTTAAGATTGTGAAAGTAAAAGTATAAGGTAGATTACGGAAAAATAACATCTTCATCAAATCAAATTATGAAATTTGTATTTAGTTCACTAATATATTTGTGGAAATATGTTTGCAACGGAAGGTCTTTTGAGATTTTGATCCTTTTTTTGTTTACGATTTTGGTTTCTGCCCTAGGATTTTGTGATCCAATCTCTTTTCGTTTCTTCTTTCTCCTTGTCGCTGATTCGTGAAGGTTCTCCTGTTTCTTTAAATTTCCAGAACCGGAGCTTTGAAGGTGAGTTTGACATTGGTTTCTGGTGTTACTCTGAACTCTGAAGAAGAGATGGCTTCTGGTTCTGAGCTGGTTTCCCGGCGGCGTTTCGAGATTCATTGCTGCTGATCCTGTCAAGGAAGTGAGTCAATTTTTAATTTTGACTGAAATTTGATGAAAAATCTCGAGTTTTGATTTCCGTTGTCCTAAGGTTTGATGTGGTTCATAAGGGTTTTTTTGGTCGATTTAGACAAGAATCTTGCTAGGTTCTAGTGAAACTGATGTTTATGGTGCACTGATTGTCCTTAATTGTTGCCAAGTTCTCCTCTTTTAGTGAATTTTTATGTGGATTTATATGGAAGAAATGGTCAAAACGATGCTCTTTAGGTTTTGGTAGTTGCAGAGAAAGCTGAATCCAGTTGATATTGCTTTTGCAGGGATTTTGAATCCTGTATGTTGAAGATTGTCCAAGTGTTTTTTTCATATGGAAGCAGCTATTGCTCAGAGGGTTCAGTACCCATCATGGGTTGGTTGTAGAGAGTTCAAGAGGAAGCCGCTTGGTTCGTCGCCGTATTCTCAGCGAGTTAAGGAAGAGAAAATGTTCAGAGGTCTTGCTTTGGCTCATTTAAAACCTGACAGGAGAAATGATCGACCAAGATCGGTGTCTTCAGAGGTTTCGTGTTCCGATAAAAAAATCTTCAGGTTGTTGTAAATGCATTTGGATGCGTATGAAATGACATAGCCTTGGGAGTCTCAAATTGATGAAGGAAATCTGATTCGTTCTTCTGATTTTTGCAGCACTGTTGCAGGCGGGAAGTGTTCATCATTTGATGAAGATCTGATTCTGAAGGCAAGTAATAATGAATTCTCTTTTGTAATCATGTATATTTGTTTCGTCTATAAAATCTTACTGGACAATGGATAAATGAGGTTTGCAGAGGAAAGCAGAGGAGGTTAAACCGTAGTTGCATGGACGATCTATGTACCTTGTTGGTCAGTTTCTTTGCTTGCTCCTTTGTTTGCGCATGGTTAGTTCTTAATACTCTTTTTCTAACTCAATGATTCCTTTTGTGAACAGAGGAATGATGAGTTCTGGGAAAACAACCGTGGGAAAGTTAATGTCGAAAGTACTCGGTTAGTCATTCTTTGACTGGTATGTATATGCTACTGCTACTATGTGATAAAGGGTTAATACTCTTTTCTTTAATGAGTTTTATTGTATTGTGTTCTAAGCTTTGAAACACTTACTTTCTTTCTAGACCGATGCACTAAATACTCTGAACACATGTTTGAAAAACAAACTCTTGTTCTTCTCTTTTTCATTTTCTATAATTTTAAAATAATTTGTCTAAATTTTTTTTATTTTATTTTTAAGAACTCCATAAAATATCTCCAATATAAGTTTTAAAACTAAGAAAAAGTTAATAAAACTCTTAACTTAAATTAATAATATAGTCTATGCTATTAGACTGATGGCGCAACTATGAATGTTCCAACTTCCAATAGACTTCTACCATCGACTCTACTTTCGTAGGGGGTTGAAAGACACTTGTCAATAAAAAGCTTATATTTGGAGTCTAGCGATTAACATTTTACTTCAAACTAAACAAGCTAATTACGTTTCGTAAATTCACCAAACTGAGATTTTGTTCATTCCAAAAATCGAAAACGGTACAACATATTACTTATATACTATAATCTAACAATAAACACCGACGACTTGGAAACGTAAATAGCATAGTAAAACAAACAAGAAAGATAACAAATTTCCCCTTGTTGGAAATTTGGTGTTAAAAAATTGATGGCATCTTTTTGTTTCTTTGATTGCTTAATTGAGGCTAAGTACGGTTTGCCACACCTTTGTCTAGTGCAATAGGAATACCACCACCCTCGGTTGTGTTCAATATGTTGGTGACCGGAAGCTCCTGCATTCCTATTTTCTCCTCTACCGACATCACTTCGTCCTTAGCTTTTCCCCACACGACGATGTATAGCCCAAAGACGATCAAAATCGCCCCAATTATACTGCATATACAAAATTAAACAATCAATTATATATATCATTATGTAACTTAGTTGTTTGTACTAGTATTTTATAACCTGATTTGAATCCATGGCATACGTGTATATGGTGAGTTTTAGATGAAACAATCTATTAAAGAATCGTCAATAAAACTATTTTTGATAAAAAAAGTTACTTAATTCGGATTAAACGATCCAGTCCAATCCAAATTGAACCAAGAAATCCGATCTGAAAACCGAATCATAGTATTTAGTTTAAATGGATTCTTTTTTTTATATTAAAAAAAAAACTCAAAACCCGACCAAACCGAAAATGCCAATCTAGATTAAGGATATATTTAACTAAAATCCGAATCTGAACTCCAGATTGATCTGAATGTATATAATATATTCGGTTTTATTTTGGATCCGAAATCCAGATTGAACACCGAATGTATATTTTTACCTTCCAAGATGAATCTTTTCGGCCAAAACTAACGCACCAAGGAAAGCAGTGATGATCATGCACATAGGACTAAACGACGTTGTAAACACTGGGCCTCGTTCCCTAATCACAATGCTTTGTATGTAATACGCCATCCCAGAACATACAACTCCCTGATATTAATCATTCAATCAAATTTATGAAGTTGTTACTTGTGTAAGTATGATTAGAGTAGAGTGCTTTATGAGTATTTTAAATGGAGAAAACTTACGGAGTAAACAGCCGCGAGTGTGCCCGAGTCCATACCTATTTTCCACGCGCTCAAGTCACGCACCATCACGAGCGAAGCAGCTGCGTTTAAGATCGTCCCCATGCCGCAAATCCACATCACGAGTGAAAGCTCCGCCGGATATTTTTTCAACGTGAATGACTGAAAAAATTGCCAAGTTTGTTTAATCTCTAATAGATACTAGATAGTTTTTACGCATTGTACAGAGTGGGATGATATTAAATAAAAATTATATAACTTTAGATAAACGTTAGGTTTTATTACATGAAAATCTGATATATATTTTTTCTTTCTTCATTATTCTTATTGAATATATTTTTTATTTAAATTTATTGTTAAGATTTTTTTAGTTTACGACTGTTAGACTATTAGACTTACGTTTCAGTTACGTTTGCGTTTCTATGTTATAGTGAACTGGTATTCCAATGAAAAATATTTATATAATGAAAAATATTTTACTCATTAGTTTGAGAATTTATACTATAAAAGATGGTCAATTCTCTTTATATGAGTGTCATTTCATCATTTTGGTTTATTGTGAAAATGACATGTGTTATTTTTTTTTTAATTTAATGATACAAATTATATAAAATACAGTTAATGCATAAATTTAATGTATTATTAATCATAATACTAAAAGAATATGAAAAATATAAAGAATTAGATAATATATTTTAATAACAATATATACTTAATATCTAAAAACAATTATTGAATATCTATTTTGTGGTAGTTTTTAAAAATCATTAACAAAATTTATGTTTTATATTTAAGAGTGTTTTCTTATTTTTAATTAATATTATAAGATATTATTATAAAAACAATTATACAAATATAAAAATAACAATTATTTGATATTTTGAACCTTAAAAAGTTAGAAGAAAATTTATACAATATTATAATAAACTTTAAAACAATTTCTTTATAAACTAATAATTATTTGATAATTTATTTTATTCAAACTTGATCCATTAATAATTTTAAAATTAATAAGATATCAAAGTCCTTATATATATTTATAAAATATTTAATGCAGTTGTATAAATAGAATTATAAATCAATTCTTTAAGCTCATAAAAATATAAAATCACGGCATTGTTATTATGTAAATCTACGCCGTGAACAAGTACGACCTATTAAAAAGAGCCGTCTCTATCTATGTTGTGCTTGAAGCTAGAGTTTCTCTAATTAATTTTTGTTATATAATACTTCTCTGATTTGCACTATATCCATTTAATATGTTTTATATATTCAAGGTATAATATATTTTACATTTTCTTATCAATAAACCATTGATCACATATATAGTTAATATTCATATAATATGTAAATATGTATTTTATGTTTTTTTCAAATACACAATATCTTTTTAAATTTTTTTAAATATTTGATAAAATAAATTGTAACTACACTTTTTAATAAATTATATTGTGAAAATAAATCCGCGCATCACGCGGGTACTCATCTAGTTTATATAATGTATGCTATATCTTTTAAATTTAAATAACATAAATGATGTACATCAGACATGATTAAATCATCAAACATTAACTATAACCAAATTTTTTACCCAAAATCTGTAATACTGAAATTATAAAGAAGAAGAAAAGTATTAAAGTACTCACTGCCGTATTTCCAAATGAAAAGGTCTATTGTTTTCATTTTTTTTTTTGAAACCCTACTGTTTGTAAATATATACTGTAAAATCTATTGTATAGTAAGAAAATAAAAAACGCTTTAACAATTAATGAAAATAGGACCTTTAATCAAATCTTTTCCTCCGATTCTGTTACATCTATGTATGGCAGGGACATTCAGTATGGTCTCAATTTTGAAATAAGGTTTTGAAATCGAAGAAGTAAAAAACTTTCATATTCTAATTTTGATCAATTGGGTTCATTTAAACTTGGTTCTAAATAATTTTTTTTGTCCTAAACAGTGAAAGAGATGGAGATCATGGAGAGAAACAGTTAAGAAACTGATGAAACTTTTATAAATGCATTTTAATTTTTTTGTTTCTTTTAATTAACTGTGAAACACAAATCCATGTGGCAAACAAATCATAAAAAAATTAATGAAAAATAATTTTAGTTAGAACATATAAATAACACGTGTTGCTCCTAGAATTGTTAACCCACTTGTGTTTTATAAGTATAAAGATATTAAAAATGCATACACTAATGTAAACTGTAAACACAAAAATTAGTTAAAATCTAAATAATTATATATTTAACTAATGTTTGCTTACTTGTAAAATGAAGAAACCAGCCCAACTGATGATACTACCCATAACTGCTAGGGTTCCGGTAACCCAGTGCTGGTCGGTGGTCTCGGAGGAGGAACTCCCTTGAAAAGAAGTATGAGCGGCCTTGACAAGCTCGATGGCTGGACCCTTGTACAAAGTCATCGCCATCGCTCCTCCCACAGTTATTGCTGTTCCAATCACCTTTGCAAGACTGCGTATCTTCTTCAAATTTACAGTTTCTAACCTGATTATATTAAGTAAAGTGTTGATCATTAACAGTAAAATTGTGCTACCTTTGCTAGTATGATCTGATTGGTAAATCAAAACGGTAAGAAGTTTTTAAAAGGTAAACAATATTGAAATAGTTAAAGAATATTAAAAAAATGGTAAGAGATACACAGATAGATTGGTGCAACCATTTTTAGTATTGCTAGTTTTTTTTTTACCGTTTTGGCAATTAATAAACTATATTAGCGACACGTTTACCGGTAACATGTTTGCCACTTAATTACAGAAGTAAAAATAAGAGATCAAAAGGGAAAAAAAAATTATTTGATTGGTTTTGGTAATTAGAAGAAAAGCACCTGAAAATGACGGCCAATATGAAAGTGACGGCGGGAAGTGCATTAACAAAGGCAGAACTGTACGTTGCAGACGTGGCTTTCATTCCTATGTAGTAGAAGTTCTGGTCCATAAGCGGTCTGAATAGACAACCAACATTTACAATTTATCGATTCATAATCATTGAATATTTTAATTATTTTTCTTATAAAATATTTTAATTATAAATAGACATATATGCTTTTATAAATGTTGCATCATTATCCGATTCTTTTATTTGAAACCATTCTCTTAAAATATGAAGGAAAAACGCACAGCTACGGAAGACGGGTAATGGGTGATGATCTCATCATGAATATTTACGACTAGATTCTCTTCGTATGGATTCGAGCAAACTGATGTGGTTTATACTGTATACAGATTTACCTTCATATTGTTTAATTATCATCTACTTTTATATAGTTCGGACCGAAATCCAAACTACTAAACAAAAAAAAAAAAGAACTCGAAACTAATAATTTCTGGAGTTTATATATACAAAATTATACGGATTTATGCGATGATAGAACACAAACTACTATACCACATGTTGTTCTTGGTTACATATTGCTCTATTTATTAATATAGTTGAATAAGTTTGATTTATAATTTTCCTTTAACAATCGTGCGTGGGGTAAAAATATTTAATAATATGGGGGTTTTTCGTTTGGATTTGGAATTCGAAGCAAGATCGTTTTCTTCACAAACAAACAAAAAAAAACACGCAAGAGCGTATGTATAAATAGATATATGTATATCGTTTATATCTCTCTATATTATAGACGTGAAAAAGGGGAATAGGTTAATGTATACAGGAGCTTACTCAAGAATTCCGAGGGCAAGAATCCTAAAGAACAATGGCCATGTCATCTTAGGCCTTATTTTCCTGTAAAGTGCAAACAACACAATATGACTCATAAAAATTAATATAGAGATTTACAGTTACATAAAGCCACCATGATATATATATGTACCTCTCGAGAATGAGGGCAAAAGGAGCCATAACAATGGTGGCAACGACATGTCGGTAGGTAGCAAGGATCCAATGGTTCATACCATGCTTGAAGGATACCATAGTTATGATGTACATGCCTGCATATCCGAATTGGAGTGATATGATCGCTAATATTGGCTTCAGTTTATCCACCTTTCCGCTTTGCTTTTCTACTCCCTTCATTTTCTTTCTTGATTTGAGAGATATTCGTACACCTATGTATGTATGTATGAATGTATATGATTTTAAATAGAGTATTTTGTTTCTCTCTCTAGATATGAGATGTTTGGTGAACGATAAAGAGTTACTTGTTTGAGGCTGGCAAAACCAAGTGGAAATGGTCCTTCTTATAGTTATCAAAAGTTGGATTCAAAACATGAATAACATTGTTTTTTTTTTCCGCTCGATAATACGTCTACGTATCTTCTAGAATATTATAGGGCAAAGATATAACTAAATAACAGAAAAGGCATATTCAAGAAAAAAAATTGCCAAATGGTATAATATTAATAATTTTAACTTAGTAAATGGCAATTTGACAAGTTGGTAGTACTAATCAAAAAGGGTACGAAAAAAGTTTTATGAAAAATTTAACACAATTATATACTTATCACATGCTAGTTTATTATATTTTTGAATAAATATTGTTTTTTAAAATTAGCAAAATGATTTTAAGAAAACTGTTATATAGTTTGACTATTGTATGCAACTTTTCTGTCTTTGGATGTTAGATTATTTACTGTAGTCGTGTAAAATTGTATGGCTATAAATCAAATTTAAATACATTTGCTAATATGTGTTTTCATAAGAAAACTGTTATATAATGTTTGACTATTGAATGTAATTTTTCTGTCTTTGAATGTTAAATTATGTTTAGCTTTATAGTTAGTCATTTTTATTTATTGTAGTCGTGTAAAATTGTTTGGCTATAAATCAAATTTAAATACATTTGTTTTCACTAATATGTGTTTTCATGTGTTCATTTCATTCGATAACTATTTTTTTCAAAAATTTCTTGAAATTTAGTTAACGAAGTAGATAAGAAAGTGTATTCCATTTGTTTTTAAACATTTTTGAAATTTTAATTTCTTAGTTGATGTGATCCCAAGTACCAGCATTCCGCCAACCACCATTGTTCCAGCTATGAACGTCCCACCCTTGACTAGAGCAGAAGCTAAGAGGTTTAGGGAGAACTTCAACGAAGCTGTAGAGATATTATTTGCAGATCGCGAGGTTCGGGACATAACCGAGTAGCTGACGAAGTTGACCATTTCCCAAGATCAAGGTCCAACCAAAGTGCAAGCCAAACCATATCAAGAAGAGGATCATTTCATCAAGGACGGTCTAAGAAGCAATATAGAAGAATGACCACTTATCAAATATGGGCCTGAAGTCTCCTTATTCACCATTCTTCCAACCTAAAGGCGTCCAGGTTCATCTCCTCCAGCAAGTCAAACAAATCCCTACAAATCAGTTCAAAGGAAAGACTGAATTCATTATATTGTTTGACTAACTTTCTTTGTTTGTCTGATCTCCTTTGTATTTATTTTAATTTTCAATTTCCATTAGATAAGGCAATTGTTAGCCATTTCAATCCCTTTAATTTAGCTGCATTTATTGTAATTTGCTTCAAAGACCCCTAGAAGGGCATAGCTGTTTGGACTCTATATAAAGTCCATTCACAGCCTTGTATTTGACACACAATCAATAAAGATCAAGCATTTTTCTAAGAGTTCTCTCTTCTTCAGTTTTTCTAGGCATTTGTGATTTCTGCCCAGTTTAACTTTGTCTCATCATTGCCTCCTTCCATCAGGCTTTGTGGCGACCATCGATCCACCTTCTACTCATCATCATCCGACCAGCCTTCTAGAGGAGTGACCTTAGTCCCTTGAACAGGTGCCATCTTTCCACTTCGTTCATACTCCATCCGACCGGTTGAAAGAGAGTGACTTTAGTCCAGCTTTCAGCCTCCATCTTCCGCCAAAACGAGCCTCAACCTTTGAGGATCGTATCATCTGGTATCAGAGCTTAAAAGCTCCTAAACTCAGGTTTTATCTATCCTTTATCTCTGTATTTTCGTTTGTGTTCTTTATTTTTCCAGAAAAACTCAAAAAAAAAAAAAATTCAACTTGTTCTTATTGTTCTTCGTTCTTGATTAAAAAAAAAAAAAGTTTTCAAACTTGTTCTTATTGTTCTTGCTTTGTTTCTGTTTGATTCATAAAACTAAAAGCACAAAAACATTTTCTGTTTATTAGCTTTCCAAATTCCTATTTAAAATATATATATATATATATATATATATACACTGCTGGTCCAAGTCTATTCCATTTCCTTATTCTTATTTCCTTAGAATACATTCATACACTTTGTTTATTTATTTCAGGTACCAACTGGAACAAGCAATGGGAGACGCTCCAACCTTAACCAATATTGCCCAAGTTCTTGCCAATCTGCAAGCTTCTATGGAACTTCTTGGCACTCGCATGGATCGGTATGACCAGCGACCACGCAGGAATCGTGCCCAAGGTGCTCAGAATCAAAGGGAACGTGAAGAAGATGAAGAGAGCATGCCTGATCTAGAAGATGATCCCCCTCCGCAACATCAAGTACCACCGAGCCTAACGGGATCCACAACCGCCGAGACCCACCACAACGGGATAGAAACCGAGGCAATGACTATGATCGAGGAGGAAGCAGAGATATCAAGTTGACTGCCCCAACTTTTGCTGGGAAGATCAACCCAGATGCCTACCTTGATTGGGAGAGGCGAATGGAACACATCTTCGAATACTACCAATATTCCGAGGTAAGAAAAGTATCACTTGCTGCTGCCCAACTTACTGATAATGATCTTGCTTGGTGGGACAGAGATGTTTTAGACCGGCGAAGACATCAACACCCCCAGATCAATACCTGGAGGGATATGCGGTTCAGCCTAAGGAAGAGATATGTCCCAGCTCATTATCACTGGGATATACAAAGGAGATTCCATAAATTGTCTCAAGGGAGAAAATCGGTGGAAGAGTATTTTGAAGAGTTCGAAAGTCTTAAAAATAGACTACAAGTTGAGGATACACCAGAGACTCAAATGGCGCAGTTTCTGGATGGCCTGCAAGATAGGATTGCCAGAAAAGTGGAAAGGCAACGGTACCATGACTTGGAGGAGCTTCTGCACTTAGCTATCCAAGCTGAGCAACATATCAAGAGGAAGACAGCCTCCACCAACCGGACTAAGACTCCTTGGACTCCTCAACGCGACCTAGACAAAGGGAAGTCTATTGAGACAGATTCCAGGTTCAAGAAGCCAGCCTTCAAACCAGAGCAAGGTAAGTCCCAAACTCAACCAATTACTAGAACTCGTGACCTTTCTTGTTTTAAATGTAAAGGAAAGGGACACTATGCAAGAGATTGCCCCAATCAAAGGATCATGATTCTCAAAGCAAATGGAGAGTATGAGTCCCAAGATGAAGGAGAAGCAGGAGAGTTAGAACACTCCGATGATGATATTATCAACTATCCTGAAGTAGGAGAAATACTTGTTGTTAGAAGAGCTCTTAGTGCACTCTTTGAAGCTGAGACAATCCAGAGGGAAAACATCTTTCACTCTAGATGCACCATAAACTCCAAGGTATGTAGTTTAATTATTGATAGTGGTTCTTGCACTAATGTGGCTAGCAAGTATTTGGTTGATAAGCTAGGGCTAGAAAAGACTAAGCATCCTCATCCTTACAAGCTGAGATGGCTCAACGATGAAACCGAGCTCAAGATAGCTGAACAAGTCACGGTGCCATTCCAAATAGGCAAGTACACAGACACCATAGTGTGTGACGTTGTTCCCATGCAAGCCGGACATCTCTTACTGGGGAGGCTGTGGCAATTTGACAAAGAGACCATGCATAATGGGCGGACTAACTACTATAGCTTCATCCATAACAAACGTAAGCATAACCTAGCCCCCCTCACCCCTCAAGAAGTACATGAACTGCAAAAGGCAATGTCAAGAGGAACTGAGGAAGTAAGACCAATCTATATGTTTCACCTGGCAAAGTTATTAAATCATTAGAAATGAAAGAGCAGGTGCTACTAATGGTCTTTAGAGAAGGGTATTTTTCAGGACCCGAAGAGGACAAGCAACCAGAAGAAGTACTTAAGCTGTTAGAGGACTTCAAGGACGTTTTCCATGAAGACATTCCCACCGGATTACCACCTATCGAAGGAATTGAGCATCAGGTTGACCTTGTACCCGGAGCCCCACTACCCAACCGACCAGCCTATAGATTCAATCCCGAGGAGGCTAAGGAACTAGAGAAGCAAGTTCAAGACCTGATGAGCAATGGCTATATCCGTGAGAGCCTTAGTCCGTGTGCAGTACCAGTCCTATTGGTACCCAAGAAAGATGGCACATGGAGAATGTGTGTAGATTGCAGGGCCATCAACAACATTACTGTCAAATACCGGCATCCCATTCCAAGATTGGATGACATGTTGGATGAGCTCAGTGGTGCCACCATCTTTTCAAAGATAGACCTGAAGAGTGGTTACCACCAAGTCAGAATGAAGGAAGGTGATGAGTGGAAGACAACATTCAAGAGCAAGAGAGGTCTATATGACTGGCTGGTCATGTCGTTTGGCCTCACCAATGCACCAAGCACCTTCATGAGGCTCATGAACTACGTTCTAAGAGCCTACATCTGTAAGTTTGTTGTTGTGTATTTTGATGATATTCTAGTATACAGCACTAGCTTGGATGAACACCTTAATCATCTTGAGAAAGTTTTAGAAACTTTAAGGCTAGAACAACTCTATGCTAATCTCAAGAAATGTGTTTTCTGCACTGATCAATTGGTATTTTTAGGCTTTGTTGTTAGTTCACATGGTCTAAAGGTGGATGAAGAGAAAATCAAAGCCATACAAGACTAGCCCACGCCAACCACCATTGGTCATGTTCGGAGTTTTCATGGCCTAGCAAGCTTTTACCGGCGTTTTGTCAAAGACTTCAGTACCATTGCTACCCCTTTAACTGCAGTGATCAAGAAGGATGTTGCTTTCACTTGGGGGCCAAAACAGGAAGAAGCTTTTCAAAAGCTTAAAGATAGCCTTACCCATGCACCTGTCGTAGTTTTACCTAACTTTGACAAAACTTTTGAAGTTGAATGTGATGCTTCAGGTACAGGTATTGGGGCTGTCCTAACTCAAGGAGGGAAACCGGTTGCCTTCTTCAGTGAGAAACTGAATGGAGCTGCACTCAACTATCACACCTATGACAAGGAGCTCTACGCCCTAGTAAGGTCTTTGGAGACATGGCAGCACTACCTTCTTTCTAAGGAGTTTGTCATCCATACCGACCATGAAACGCTCAAATACCTAAGGGGTCAGACCACACTGAAGAAAC